GTAGAAAAGGCCCAGTGGCCCTAATTCTCTGTTAACATGACAGGGAAAAGATCAGAGAAGCCAACAAGTCAGGGGCCATGACCAGAAGTAGGTCTCTAGCCCGGCCTAGGGCAAGTTTCCCACAGGGACACCTCAAGGAATGTGCACCTGCTGAATGGTTGTAGGTGTGGGAATACAACAGTGGTGGGATTCATCCCTCCTGGCCCAGCTCCGGGAGTCTCCGTCACATCTTCCACCTCTGTCTGCTAAGAGAAGGGACGAGCCCCCTTCCCTGCTGCCTGGTGCAGTACTAACATTTTGCTTTTCTTTGTCTAAAACCCTTCAGAACCAGGGCTTTGGGTTGTAAAAAGCGAGTCAGCAACCAAGGCAACACCTCCCTATACCATCCCCTCCTCCCTATACCATCCCCTCCAGAGTCGAGCTTCCCTGAGGCTTTGGGGAAAGCAATCTCACAAACCCTCACACATTGTCACTATGCAGCCCTTGATGTGGTAGAAGAGGGGCTGGGGACGGGGCAGGGGGACAAGCCTTCTTTAGTTCTTTGTTTTCCTCCATGAAATGCTGATATGTCAAATGAGGGAGATGTTCCCCTGGCGGAATATGGGCAGGGTGGGCACTTTTCCACACTGGGGGTTTGGCGGGTGCTGGAAACAGCCTGAAGGATTGGCTCCGAAGGGGACAGGGTCACTGAAGACCAGGAGGCCCATGTGTCCCCACTTTGCCTCCCCCCTAAACTACACGGCAAGAGCTCCTGCAGCTTTAGGGAAAGAATGACCCCTAATGTGTGTTAAGCTCACAGAACGAGTTAGAAACATACTGAGTCTAGATGAGAACCTCAGCTTTTGGATGTGGTAACTCTTTAGGGCAGGGTTTTCTCCATTTTGCACCCTGCCATAACACCCCCTGTTCCAATGTGGAGATCAACTTTGGGCAGAGCAGGCAATCTTTTTTTTTTTTTAATTTAAAGATTTATTTATGTATTTGAGAGAGAGAGAGAGAGAGAGGGTGTACATGTGAGTGGGGGGAGAGGCAGAGGGAGAGGGAGGGAGAGAATCTCAAGCAGAATCCGTGTTGAGCTCAGAGCCCAACACGGGGCTTATTCCCAGGACCCCAAGATCGTGACCTGAGCTGAAACCAAGAGTTGGATGCTCAACAGCCTGAGCCACCTGGGAGCCCCCAGAGCAGGCAATCTCTGAGTGTACGCTGAATGTGGGGCAAAAGTCATAGGTCCTGGAAAATGAAGTTCAAATTGGTGTAGCTCTGTAGTTGAGCAGAAGAAAGTCAGCCAATGGGGTCCGCTTTGGTTAATTCAGAGCTGGCCTCCCTGTAATCAAAGGAGGCTCAAGGTCAAAATTGTTGAAAGCCAAATCACCAAAATATGAAGAAGACTGTATTAATAAAGAATATATTCATTAGACTTCTTCCTAGCAAGCTGGGAGTGGGGAGGCTGGGAAGCCACGGGGTGTCCCCGAAGGGTTCTCTGGAGGGATCTTGTGCTTGGGACCTGCAGGGGAAGGTAATCCACGATGCCAAGCCAGCCCCACCCCCTTGCAGCTGGCTCCACGCAGGAGTTTCACTCATGTCAGTCCCCAGGTCTGTGGCGAGCCCATCTGGATGTCTGACCTACCCGGTACCCCCCCTTACCCCCTCTTCACTGGACACCAAGAGCAGAACCCTTGCACCAAAGACTGGGTGCTCAGGGTGCCCCCATCTCCCCGCCATTTCCCAGCCTCAGTGGCTGGATGTCTGGCAGAGATAAACTGGACAGTCCTTAAAATGGAATTTGGGGGATAAAGTGCAAACCAGGCAACTGGAATGACATAATTATAAGGAAAGCGAATTCAGTTCCTGGTGGTGGAGTCCACTGATCTGCTTGTCCCTCAGATATCAGGTGGCCGGGAAGCTTGTCTTTACCGGCAGTCTGAGTGGAGCCTGGGGACACTGGCTCCTCAGCGGGAGGAGGGAGTGCCTTGAATAGGTGGCCAGCGATGCACCCCAAGTTTCACAAGGGACATTGAGTCAATGGAATCCATGCAGAGAAAGGTAAGCAGGAAGAAGGGGCACGGTCTAATTAAGCAATATTGGGAAGAGGGGGGAAGTGAAAGTCTAGAGAGAAATATGGCACCTTGGTTGAATAACCCAAGGCCTACTGTTGGGAGGAGGGGCTGCCTGGCTCTGTGACTTGATGTCTTAGCAGAAATCTCCACTGGGTTTGGGGTCTGGACTGGACAGTCCTGTGATGAGCTCCTCTTGTGTTGGCCTGCTTGGCACATACACTTCTGCTCAGAGTGTTCACAAGGCTCACAAATGGCCTTGTGAAGCACCCTGTCCCAATCTTTCTGCATGGTTCCAGTGGGGCTGCTCTTCTCTTTGGCCTATTTGGCCCAGCTAATCAGTGTTTGGCACCCCCCCAAACTGGGGCACAGTGACTGGCTGCTGGCTGATAGGATGCAAGCCTGAAGCTGCTGAGGGGGCTTTACAGAGACAGTCTTGCTGAGGGGGAAGCCAGCAGATGGAAAGTAGAGGCATGGAAAGAGCTAGAGACCAAAAGCTGAGGATACATTATGGGTCCTTGGCGCTGGCAGGCTTGAAAGCAGCACACCCTGAACCTTTCTGTTACCTAAGACTATGCATTATCTTTAGCATAAGCCAGTTGGGATTGGGTTTCTGTTACTTACAACCAACAGTCCTGATACAAATGTCACAGATCCGACTCATTCTACTGTTCGCTTATTCCTTGACTTGGCACAAGAAGGATGATACCAGTAAGGATTGGGATTAGCTTGCTTGCTAGTGCCATGCATGGTGGAAAGTGCTAGACATGCACTATTTCCCACATGGCTGAGAGTCTTATTACCCAGCCTACAGATGTATAAATGAGGACTCTTTCAGTGCCTGTCATGGAAAAGCCAGCAGCTCACGCCGTGCCAATAAGGACTCACTTTCCCATTGTCTTCCATCTCTGGCTTCACACTCAGGGTCTACACACTGTCCCCTTGGCCGTCCCCAGAAGCCCAGCAAGCATTGCCTTATACCTCTAGTTCCTGACCAACTGTTGCTATAAATCACATGATACAGAACAGAGTGAGGGCAGGGCCAGGAGGTTTCCAGAGGAAATTCTGCACTCATCCATAGGAGTGAGGAGAGTGGACAGTGGACAGAAAATAGAGGCCAGCGCCACAAGACTACGATGTCACATCGCCTGCCCTGACCACATAACTGGGCAGTGTCCAGCCAGATGCTCGTGGAGAAATCCTCCTCTCCTGCATTTCATGTCTTCCTCTTATTGCTTCTTGTCCTGTCCTTCCTGTCCTGGAGCAGGTGGTGGGCTGCAGGGCAAGCCACCAACCCTGGGCCCCAGAAGCAGGCACCTTTGTTCCTTTGTCTCTGCCTTTTGGCCTCATCTCTCCCCAGGAGGTGTGTGGATTTGAATCCTCCTTCCAGGACATTTGGAGTTTTTTCGCTTCCCTGTTCAGTTCATTTAAGGCACCACGCAGCCTGCTGGGCTGGGCGTGCTGAGTGGCACCTGAAAATGCAGTGGTCATGTTTCCTTCTTCTCAGCCAAAGATAGAATAGAGGTAATGCATTGATCTTCAGGTGAAAATATTCAGACAAAACAGGGCCCTTCTCCCCCTGAACTCGACATCATACCCCCTTTCCCTCCTTTGGGTTGAGAGGAGAATTTGGCTATGGTTGTCAGACCTCTGGGTGTGAAGTCCCCCTGCCAGGTGTGCTGGAGGTGAGGAGAGATGCATTCCTACCTGCAGTCCCAACATGCAAACCACTGAACAAAAGCATTAGCCTCTGAGATTGGAAGTGAGAATGTCTTGTCACCATGGTTACCAGGAAATGGTCCCACTTATATATAATAAGGGCTTTAGAAGACCCCAGGCCATCTGATATTCCAGGCTGGTGCCAAAATGAGAAGGTGTCTGGGGGGCCATTCCTTATGCAGTTACCTGAACACAGCGGTGGGCCAGGTACCGAGCCAGGCACTGGAAACAAGGCTTTTTTTGATTGGGGCGGGTGGGCGGGGGCAGGACAGAGGCCTGGGCACCTTAACCCAGCGCCCCTTTGTTACCCAGCATTTAGTCCTGCATCTGGCTACAACAGCAGTGCAGGAATGAGTGTGTTTGCACCGTCTCAGTGTGGGGCGGTCACCCCAGATACGGATCTCTAGTTGGAGGGGGAGGGCCGGCGTTGGAGAGGCCATGTCTTCTTCTTCTTCTTTTTTTTTTTTTTAAGATTTTATTTATTTATTTGGCAGAGAGAGACACAGCGAGAGAGGGAACACAAGCAGGGGGAGTGGGAGAGGGAGAAGCAGGCTCCCCATTGAGCAGGGAGTCTGATGCGGGGTTCGAACCCAGGACCCTGGGATCATGACCTGAGCCGAAGGCAGACGCTTAACGACTGAGCCACCCAGGCGCCCCGAGGCCATGTCTTCTTTAGTCCTCACGCTCCTGCCTGGCAGAAAGGTACCGAACAACGAGAAAAGAAAAGACCCCCCCCTTCCCTTCCAGCCTCCCTGACGCCCCCTCTGGCCCCATCCACACAGCCGCGCCGGTTTGGAGGCGGCTGTCCTGCGGGGAGACCCCACTGTGCGTCGGGCGCTCGGGGCGGCTGGTCCATCCCCGTCGAGTTTCTGGGCGCGGGGGCTCCGGGGCTGGGGAGCGCCCGCAGCACCTGCCAGGCCGCGAGCGCGGGCGCGGGCGGCCAGGGCAGCGGGGACTCCTGCGAGCTAGCTTGCCGCCCTCCTCAGCAGCAAAACAAGAGCACGCGCACCTGTCGGCTCCGCCCCGCCCCGCGCGCC